GCAAGTACAGGTGCAATACACGCGCAAGTACAGGTGCAATACAGGCGCAAGTACAGGTGCAATACAGGCGCAAGTACAGGTGCAACAAAGGCGCAAGTACAGGTGCAATACAGGCGCAAAATAGACACAATCGCACAATACTCGCCCACTTGAGCAATTTGCGCGCGTCGTGTCCCATTTCCCAACAACGAGTGGGTTATGTGTACGCACGCGCTGACTCTGAAATGGGGTTATACACACGTGACAGCAAATCATTTATACATTATTCAAGTTAACGTTTCACATTGTATTTTACCACGTGGTTTTATTTGTCAAATCTTTATATTCACTCGCTCATATCAAAACCCTATCCATATAAAAAGAAATAACTTAGATTATTATATTGTGATTTATTAATCGCTAATGCAGGAACTGTACAAATGATATATATTACATGCACTTACTTAATGGTACAACCAAACAAAAAAAATATAAAATAAAAATCCCGATAAAGGATTTTACATTAGCGAACTGGTTCGAAGTAGTGTCAGATGCGCGGGTGGTGCTGCTGCTGCTGCTGCTGCAAGCTCACCATAGCGTGCTCGTGCCCGGGATGCGCGAGGTGCGCGGCGGGCGCGTGTGCGTGCGCGTGCGCCGGCGCGTAAGTCCGGTCGCGCATCAGCGCCACTATGTCGCGCAGCAGGTCGACCGCCTGTGTGACGGCCTCCGCCTGCTTCTCCGCGGCGAGGGCGCTCCTCATGGCCGCCTCGGCCAGCAGCTCCTCGGTGCCGAGGCGCGGGTCGCCGCCCCCCGCACCCGCCGCACCTCCAGACCCCTCCGAGTACATGTCGTCCTCGAGCACCGGCTTGCGTTCCTCGTCAGAGTTGCTGCCGCCGCGTCCGCTTGCTTCATCAAATAATACAGAACGTATTACCATACATATCATACAAAGATAAAAATTATATCCATTACAATATCATTAGAAAAGAACGCTCGTGCGAACTTGAAAAAATAATTGTTATGTGTATGTAAGATCCGTTTAGCTGCGGTGAAGATATGTGAGAGCCGGTGTGGGTGAACTTTGTGGCTACACAGATATTAACTGGAAGTTTACGAAAATTTTATCTGCTTTGGCCATCATGGTAGCCAGTTAACTCGAGAATGCTTGTAGTCAAATTTTGTGCAACAAAATATACCATACTATTAATTTTACCATTCTAAATTTAGGGTTGGAAATCAGTCTCTACAAATATTTCCATTAGTACATTGAATTGTTTCAGAAATTTGGTGAGTTTAACCTAAAGGTTGTTTAAAGCTATCTACAGTGGTTTACAGAATAAATATGGGCTTCACGTAAAACAGTAAAATCTTAAAGGGGGCTAAAAAATAAGTTCATATAAGTAAATTAACTGTGAGACTTACTGATATATGTCAATGTTCAAACAACAAAGCATACTATAATTAGGTTTCATACACCTATAATCATCACTCTGTTCCCAGTGGAAAAGTGATTACAGCTGACACTCCGCACATACTCATTAAAAGTTTGCAAATGTGTAGTTTTAATTACCGCACTGACGCAGGAACCTAAAATGGGTTTTGGCTAGTAGAAGTCTGTGGTACCTAAATTTAGCCTTATTATTGTGCTTAATTTAAAATGAATAAGTTTGTTCCTAAAATATTATTATAGGTTTTGAAATAGTGTCTTTAATGTGTAAAACATATATTTATCTGAATTTATAACCTGAGTATATACCCCCATGGCAGATAATGAAACACAGAATGACTCCACTTGATGCTTGTTTTTTGTGTGGTCGTGGTCACCAGGTGAGCCAGCCCATTTACTTGATGTTGCTGATTATTTTGTATCTGTCAAATACTACCCACTTACACTCTGGTGGCCGTGTGCCCAGTATGCTCTGCAGGCGCTCCTCTGCATTTGAGAGGTCTCCCAGAGCTCCACCCGCTGCACACTTCTTTCGGGCCTTGTACTTAATGTCCGCCCAATACTGCAATATAAAAAATGTTCATTCAGATACAACTTATATTTTCAGCTTTATACATGATTAGCAAAACATTGGCATACAGAAGTTTAGCTTTGGTCACTGATGTTCTTGTTGTGGGCACAACTTGTCAAGAAGACAGATAAATATAAGTAAACAGTACATAAACCATTTTCCCTTATCTTTCCTTCCTTTATGGTGAAGACAAGTGTTAAACAAGTTCAGTACCACTGATTAACTGGTGAATCAATGTGGAGCAGTGATAAAGATTTGATTATTAAGGATAGTAAGTATATGTGAAATTTCTCCTTAAAATAATAATGCTTACCCTGCACCATTTATCTGGGGATTTTCGTGCACCCCCCGTGTCCGCCGCTGCTGCGTTAAGCCGCTCGGCTAACAGACGCCACAGCTTGCTCGAACTAAAGCGAGAGTAAATAGATTGCTTGCCGGCTGCAAAATCGCGGTGCTCTTCCATAAACGATAAGAGCAAATCCAGTTGCTCCGAGCTCACTCTACACCTGGTCAATACACCGCTCATAACTGCTGTTCATAGCGTTAGGTGGCAGTGGTGAGCAATAGCCTGTAAATCTTCACTTCTCACTCTATACCTGATCTGCACCAGCACAGCCACTACTCACTGACGCCGTCATTTACTTAAACACACGGCTACGTTCCATTATTGTATAAAAGTTTTATTGCTTATTTAAATCTACATATTTTTGTTTACAACTGTTATCAATATCATCCTTTTAAAAGGAGGAGTAAGAAGAGTAACAAAATTTTTTAGAAAGTTTGACACAGTTTTGTTACCAGTGAAAAAAAATTAATTTTGTAAAAAAGCCAAAGAGTATATAAAAAGCCGTGTAGGTTTGAAAGAACAAAATGCATATGAGAAGAGCAAAGAGTAGAGAGAAGAGCGACATTTTTAACATTTACGAAATGGCAATGTTTCAACGTTTTTACATTATTAAGATACATAATTTCAAAAAAGAGATACTACTAGATACTATTTTTATAAAAATAAAACTTTTTAAGCATTAATATTTTTATTTAAATCTATCCAGTACAAATATTTGTTGAACAATAACTATTTTACCTTTTTTTTCATTGAAATGCCATTTTTGGAATCGTATTCACAGTTGACACAAAATTTGAAAGTGAATTTGTAAAAAAATCAAATCACTTCACACAACACGGTATAATTGCCGCAGCACTGGCCACACTGTTTTGACAATAAAGATCAGAGTATACAAAACACAGATATAGTGTGTATTATTTATATCTTAAATAGACACACTATATCTGTGTGATAATATTACAGATTAATTTGACAATTCACTAGAGATGGGTTCATTGAAATCGGTTATTAAAATTTTCGATGGTTGATTTCATAGAACTTACAATCAAAAATTTCGTGAATATTGTTTTTGATTTACAATACAAATTAAATTGTTTCTTTTTATGCCAACTTTATTTTTCAAAACTATGTAGAAAAATAAAATATTAAACCAAAAATTGAGATGCTGAGAAACAAAACGAACTGTCTTTAATGTTTTTTTAGTTAATTGTGCGAGATATAGCTAAATATCTGTAAGAAATACAAAAATAAATTAAAAACCTTAGTTATAAAATTTATTTCTTTGAATGTTATTATGACAAAACCGATTCTCGATAGTTCATAGTTGTTTGTAATGCGTGTACGGTCGACACTATGACAACCGTCCAAAAAGTACAACATTAATCCTTAAAGTACAACATTAATAATTCGATACTTTATAGGTGTCAGTTGTCAAACTAATATATCTTAAACAGACAGACTATAGCTACGATAGCTACTAAACCTAAACTATAGTGTATCTATTTAAGATATAAAATATAAATGTATAGGTTAGTTTTACAATTCATTTGAAAATTTACTAGATATGGGTTGAATGAAATCGATGAAGAATTTTTTAGATTCTCGATTGTTGTTCTCATAGAACTTATAAAATATATCAATAAAAATAAACTACTAATATAAATTTATTATTGAATTACTTAACTCTATATTAATTATTAAGTCACTAATTAAATTAAAATTAATCTACCAAAATAATACGATAAACTATAAACTAAAACTAAACCAAACTAAATAATATAAAAAATCGATCCCAAATCGCTGCGGTCGCACGGTAGGGTTCCCAAGAGGCTGGCGGCATTTCCCCGTTGGATGGCCAGGCTCAATCTTTGCCCGAAATGCGCGCCAGCCCTTGGATCCCCTGAGGCGTCGATGAGGCGTGCGGAAATCTCCTTAAACAGGCGACGGGCTTCCGCACCCCAAGGCCCCAAGGTCTCCACGGCAAAAGGCGCAAATATATACGGATCTGCCAACGCCGCATATTTACGCCTTTTATTGATTTCGGCTGTCGCCGCAGCTGCGCCGGCTTTACGAGCGGTCGCTCTCACGTGGGATGGAGCAACAGTGTCCACGCATGTGGCATCCCACACAAGTGACCGCCCGTTTTTCCACGGAATGAGCGTCATACCGTCGGGCCTCTTGCCATCATCTCGGACGATGCCATTGGGTTCAAGCACTGCCGGCACGCCGGAAGAGGCAATGGCTCGACGGATGACGTCATTTAAGGCGGCATGGCGCGGAATGCGTCCTGCACTGCGACGACATGCTAAACCGTGATGACCAAGAGGATCGACGTCTACCCCACACCGACAGCGATGGGGTTCGTTCGTCCGGGCCCCTAGACGTAAGCTCACCGCCAAACTAAAAGTAGTCCTCTCCAAAAGCGTACCTACGCTAAACGATGGAATAGCATTTAACCAGTATCCTGACTCTGGCTCACAGCTGGCCAAGAGACGAGACCGCTCCGCTTCGCTTTCTGAAGACTCTACCAGATGATTTCGTATTTTCAAACAGAGAGGCTCGTCCCACTGCCGCTGCGAAGCCAGGTTCAGGGGTAGGTCTGGACCAGTTGCACTAAGCCAGGTATCCCTGGCCTCGGCCAAACAGGCAACCTCTACGTCGCAGAGCGACGGGCCTAGTATGCTACCAACGAGGTTAACCGAGCTATGAACCGAGGACAAGAAGGTCTACACCAAATTATATAACGTCGACACTATGACAACCGTCGATTAAGTAGAAGAGAGAGAGAAAAAGAGGTTTTTATAACTACATATAGATTTGAATTGTCAAAGATTGGTTGTCATGGTGATTTTTTTTGTTTTGTCAGAAGAAGAATTAAAATATGCTTTTAACATAAACAAATTGTTTATTAAATTATTCAAACTTTCGTGAGACATTATACTAAACTGATATAAAAACGGCTAAACACTCACGTATATTCGTCCGGTGGCGGCACCGACTAGTTTCCTGAGCCCATCGGAGGCCCTTCATCAGGATGAATGGTACTGGTATTATTTCGAGGTGGCGGCCCGTCGCTCACTCAAGAGTTTTTCTGTTATTTTCGTACCAAATTTGCACTTTTGTACGTTAGAAACTGTGACCGTTGACATATACACTTCACTACTGACACAAACTAACCTTTAACCCTAACCATAACCGTCCAAAATTGAGTAGTTATAGTCACAGTTAAATATGAGGTAAATTTGACGATCGTTAAAATGGTGCAATGAATTTTTGCGCAACCGTAGGTTTAACCGATGTCAAGGCGCTGGTTATAATTAGTTGATGCAACTCACCCTTAGTTATTGGTTGTTATGGTAACGTGAATAAAACAAAGCAGTTAACTTGCCTTCGCTTTGCATTACCAGTCCTTTTTATGTGCTGTTTGTCTGTTGCCGATTATTAAAAATAAATACGTTGAATTATTATCAGTATATGTTTTTAATTTACGATAATTTGAGTATAAAAAGTAAATAAATGATGATCTCGAACTGGCACAGAACGACGTGTCAATTATTCTATTTCCGTTTATCTGTTCCTACGCAACATATCACTTTAATTAGAAATTAACTTGGAATGAAGAAATTGATTGAAATTGCAACCGCAACATAAGCTTAATGTGAAAATCGTATGTTGGTAGGATACCTAATTATAAGAAAGGGGTACGTATAACTCGCAATTCCGTTTTATTAATACATTTTGAAGTAGCGAATGAAAATATATTATTTATTTTTTTTTTCAGTTTTTACTTCCAGTAAATGTAATAATAAAGAATTATCATTGTTCATCACCATCATTGCTGACGTTTGTTTTATTTACAACAGTCTACCTCACTGATGTTACCTAGACGCGACTAGGAATGTCCAGAACAGCATTATATGTCAAACCTAAAAGTTCCCTTTGCACTTACATACGAAGTAGGGACTTGGAATGAAGGTTAGTATACCTTTGTATGTTTAAGCAAAGTGATCCTATACAACAACATAACTCACACCCGTAAACGTAGTGGGAAGTAGAGGTGGATGCATGGGAAGGGAAAATATTCTCTTTCTGTGCATCCTTTCCTCTGTCGATTATAGCCTGTGCATTTGCGGATGTCTATGGCCAACGGTTGCTTCGCTGTTTCAGCGATTTCGGGTTCGGGTAGCCGCTCGCTCGTTTGCCAACTTCTAATTTATATAAAAAAAAAGCGTTACTTAACTATGGGTTTCGACTGAAGCGAAACTTTTGTAAAAATACTGTTGCCTCTGTTTATTTACAAAACAAGGGATGGCGATTTTTTTAATGTAACATAAAGTTTTGTTTATTATTAAAGGACTATTGATGCACATACCCGCTTCAACTTGCTTGCCGTTTTCGACTCTAGTCACAACTTCCTCTTTTAACCAAAAACTCTTTTACTCTCGCTTTTTCAAATCCTGTAAATTTATAAAGTCACAACTAGTATATACAAATATTTAGAAAAACTGCATTTCCACCGCATTCTTACATCCATACTTGTCCTTATGTGTCGATGATAATTTACATTTACATGTATTTTTTTCAGAAATGTTAACTTCTCATTGTCATTTACCTCTCTCTCAATACAAAAGAACAGCATGCTCTTGTCACTGAAGAGAGAAAGTGTTTAGAGTTGAGCGGGTAGAGCGTGCCGAGACTAGCGCGGGCGGCGGGCGGCCATGAACCGGTACGTGGTGCTGCAGCAGCTCGGCGACGGCACCTATGGCTCTGTGGTGCTGGCGCAGCGTCGCGACACCGGGGAGAAGGTCGCCATAAAACGTATGAAACGGAAATACTACTCGTGGGATGAAGCTATGAACCTACGCGAAGTAAAGTCGTTAAAGAAACTTAATCACGCCAATATTGTAAAATTACGCGAAGTGATACGTGAGAACGATACGCTTTATTTTGTATTCGAATACATGCGAGGTAACTTGTATCAGCTGATGCGAGACGCCGAGCGGCCGCTCCCGGAGCCGGTGCTGCGCAACATCCTATACCAGGTGTTGCAGGGGCTGGCCCACATGCACCGACACGGCTTCTTCCACCGCGACCTCAAGCCCGAGAATCTGCTGTGCGCAGGGCCCGACCTCGTCAAGATCGCCGACCTGGGACTAGCGCGCGAGGTGCGTTCACGGCCGCCCTACACGGACTACGTGTCAACGCGCTGGTACCGCGCGCCCGAGGTGCTGCTGCGCGATACGCACTACGGTCCGCCCATCGACCTGTGGGCGCTGGGCTGCATCGCCGCTGAGCTCTACACGGGTCGGCCGTTGTTTCCCGGAAATTCGGAGATCGATCAGCTGTACAAGATCTGTAGCGTGCTGGGGTGCCCCGAGCGCGGGGAGTGGCCGGAGGGGTTCGCACTAGCGGAGGCGCTGCGGTTCCGTTTCCCCACGAGCGCAGGCGTGCCGCTGGCGCGCGCGGTGCCCGGCGCCTCGGCCGCCGCGCTAGCGCTGCTCGCCGCACTTCTCCGCTACCCACCCAGAGACCGCCCCACCGCGCCGCAAGCTCTACGGTAACATTACATCCACCCGACGGCTGCTACTTGTACCGATGCGAGCAATTCCTTACCCTGAAGTGATAGCATGTCAGGGTAGTATACAGCACGAGGTCAAACACCTCTAATTCGATTAAATCATCCTATTGTCAGCCAATTATCTAAATTGGCTATCAAAAGGCGATAGCGAATTTATAAAATGGTCATTGCAAGAATTGGATCATGTAACCGCAGGTTTCTCACACAACCAAAATATCTTTGTTAAATATATCGTTATTCCTGTATTTTTTGACAAAACAAAGATATTACATTATATGATTTTGTTCTCAGAAACCTACGGTAACTGAATCACTTTAAAATTAATAATCGTAATTGTAGAAATAAACAATGATGCCACAAAGGTAGGATAAAATGTATAATTTTATTTCTTCACTTCATCATCATATTATACCAAAAAATATATAAATATTGGATTACTAAACAAATTTTTAAAAATAGTCTTTGTTACTGTTACTTCCAGGTTCCCTTACTTCGCCGTTGGAGTCGCTTTAGGTGTTCCGGCGCCGACCTCGCGCGCTAGAAGGTACATCTTATGTTTCATCATCTATCATATCTTTATGTCAACATCACCATCTGGCGATCGCTCCTGCCAAATACAATTCGCAGGAAAATCCAAATCAATTCAAAGGAAAATGCGGGAAAGTGAAAAGTGTGCCGCCGCATTGAGATTATTGACCACTTTTTAGAAGTGCAATGCGAACGGACGCGGGGCACACGGCTGTCGGCGCCGACGCGGCGACGGGAGCGCCCTCCGCGCGCGCCGACCGCTTCGCCGACATTCTCGGGTACGTTTACGTTCATCGACAGCTTCATGAGTCACGAACGGAAAGAGTTCAACACCGACATGCTTGTAGGGGCGAGGTGATACACGACGTGCGCCGCGCGGTGGCGGTGGAGGGCGGCGCGCGCGATGTGCGAGGGCGCGGCGTGGCGGCGCCGAACCCCGCGGCCGCCATACCGCCCGCGCCCGCCGCCGCGGCCTACCTCGGCGCCGCGCGCTACGTGGCGGGGACACGCATCGACACATCTCTGTTCCGTCCCATATACTTTAGGTCGCATCGGGGTGAGTACTGCCACTGGCTTCTTTCCTACTATAAGCTAGTTAACCTGTATTTATATGTACATACTTACACGATTATTCTGTAGTTATCAAAAGAATATGTAGAGATACTTTGATGACCAAATGTATGAAATTTAAAAAAGTACAAATTGAAAGAGTATCATAAAAAACCTGATTATTGCTCGATTGTAATATATATATGTTGTACTTGTACTTCACCCCGCTACGGCCTAGCCACATCCTTGCTAATTATTACTTACTAACAGTATAAATGCGACAGTAACTCTGTCTGTCCTTCTTTCACGCAAAAACTACTGAACTGAATTAAATGACATTTTATAGAAATGTAGTCTAGAGCCTGGGAAAGGACATAGGCTACTTTTTAACGCGAAAAAGGGGTTGTAAGGTGTTGAAAAGGTGGGTGGATATTGGTATGGGAATATCGTAATTTTTTTAGGTAAAAGCTTGAAACTTATTTTTTAGGCTGTTAATCTATCTTCTATATATTATATTATATATATATATATATAGAAGATAGATTAACTAATATATATATACATATACTCGTATATAAAAGAAAGTCGTGTTAGTTACACTATTTATAACTCAAGAACGGCTTTACCGATATGGCTGATAGCTTAGAGCCAGGAGACTGACATAGGATACTATTTATTCATTTTTAAATTATTTTTTTGGAATTTGTGCCTTGAAGGGGGGCTGCTTTTTATTTAAATTATCTATATATTCAAGGATGCAAAATAACAATATGAATTATGTGATGAAAATTTGTATTAGAATATGTGAGGTTTATGTGAATATTTCTTGAGTTTAATATGTTTTGTTATGTATTATACTATAAGTGGTAGTAAAATAAGTAGCCGAAACAATAAAACTGCTACACAAAGAGAGAAATTCACGCGGACAAAATCGCGGGCACAGCTGGTCATTAGAAACTGTCTGTTAGGGCCTGTCTTGTCTCATGACTTGTGATACTGATAGCTAACTTGACTTCAGAGGCGACGGTAGTGGGCAGCGGCGAGCGCAGCGGCCGCGTCGATTGGGCCGCCAAGTACCTGCGCTGAGCCCTTATGTATCTGCGCTCAGCTCGCCGTCGCTACTTCGCAGATGCCTCTACAACCATCACACGTTCTATAGCCTTTTAAATTTGTTTCCACGTTAATTAATTTCCTAGAATAGCCGTCGAAGCTAAGGACAAGCCTGCCTGATTGTAAAGTTTTCGAGAGGGAGGAAATTAAACGAGTGGCAAAGGGCCTTTCGACCGGTTGTGGGCTGGCAATGGCTGCCTCTAACGGCCGACGGTCTCTGCGTCTCGGATGTAATGTCGGTCGGTCGGTCCTTTGCCCTTCCTTACCATTGCCCATAGAAGAACAAAGAGGAAGAGGATTAAATTTAGGAGAGAATTAATAGCAGTCCAACACTTTGCCTTTACAAAAAACTGGCAAGTCTGGCTATTTTTTAATTGTTTTTATTCATATCTAATGTGCGTTTTGATCACAGAACATTTTATTTATAAATATACATATTTAATGTTTATGCTTAATTTGAAATAAAATTTTCGTTATTCCTTATGTTTATTAGAAATAATAATGATGTATTAGTTAAATAGTGTGAAGAGGTTTGAGTAGCAGGAAGCAAGCAAGCAGTACTGCACTCCGCTGCTTCTCCCAACTTTTAAATGTAAATAAAACACCTTTTTAACGACATGTTTCCTTTTATACCTTCATCTGATCATATTTAAATATATATAAATGACAGCAATACACAAACATTATTTGTTGAAATGAACACAATTCTTATAAGAATTTATATAAATTTATAATTATGTTGCATCTGAAGAGATTTGCTGTGTTTCAGAAGTGAAAGCAAAGGGAGTAAGGTAAGGGATATTATGAAACATGTGCGGGGCCAGTCGGGGGCAGACGGTCCACTAGCACCACACCATCAGTGCACTAAGACATTCTTGTGTTGCACTTATTTACATATGTAAATTCATTTACTATAATAATGAAGGCACACACAAATTCTTATTTAATATTCTTGCCAGAACTTTATTTGTTACAGAGTCAGATGAGTGTTTTCTATGTTGGCTCCATACATGATGACACATCCAAACCTCCTGTCGGTAGAAACACTTCCAGTGTTCACATTATTCCAAATTTAGAGTTGCATTAGTGTTAGTTATACACACACACACACACACACTTCTGCTAGGTGCTACATTGTCTCGGTTTAACCAAGATTTTAAACACATAATTACTTAAATTAAAATATATTGTTTTACCCTTGATTTCCGAGATGGAAATCTCTGTATTAAACATATATAAAAAGAGATTTTGTTCTCAGAAAAATACAGTTAGAAATAAACTTTTGACATGAAATAAGATTTTGAACTTATGAACTAAAAGGCAAACAGGTAACTTTGTTTCCTACTATTGTATATTATTATATTATTTACATATTTGCTTTGATATAAAATCTGTAAGTATTTAACAATGGGAATAGTTGGGTCTCAGTGGTACTTGAGGTAAGGCTTGGTATCCCGGGCTGGCGAAAGAGGCGCGGCGGGCGCGGGCGGCGCCTGGGGCGCGTGCTGTGGGTGTGCCGGCCACGCTTCCGCCGGCCAGCTGTAGACACGAGCCGCATTGCCCTCCATCACACCCCAGCCGAGTAACTGAGAACGAGAGCCTCTGTCTCTCTTTGGAGAAGCAGTTGAAATATTCACTGACACGCCTTTGATAATATGGTCTTGCCCGCATAGAGACTGGGCTACTTCTGGGTCCAAAAATGTAACAAAGCTAAAAGCGCGAAAGGGACGGGGCACAAACACATCTGTCACTTGACCAAAGGCACCAAAATACTCGCGTAAATCTTCCGCTGTAAGGCTCTCGGTACATCTGCCGACAAATACCTTGCGATGTGCGGCAGCACCGCCATCTTTGCTGTTGGGTATACGTACATCACACCAGCGACCATCAATCATATGCCGCCGACCCAGAGCGCGCACTTGTGCTTCATAGTCAGCAAATTTTATAAATCCAAAACCTTTGGATAGACCTGTTTTAGCGTCTCGTTTCACCTGTACCATGAGTAACTCACCAAATGAAGAAAAATATTCACGAACTGCATCCTCACCGGTCTTCCACGGCAAGCCCAGCACTATTAGATCAGAGCAGCGAGGACGCGATGGTTGGGCGACTGCTCGTGGGAATGCGCAGAAATAGCGATGCGCCGCCCAGCCCCCAGGCGGAGGCGACACTCTCTCCTCGACGAGACGCAAGCCCCGGAGCCGACCACCAACGCGGTATTTAAGGCCACTCGCGCCCGCGAATTGAGCTGTGACCGTGCTCAAAAGTAAAGAGCCGTCTTCTTCTGTTGGCAACTCTATGGGCTCGTCTTCTTCGCCCTCGCTAACCAACGCGTACTCTATTGACATGTCGCTTACCAACCGAATATCCCTATCCTACACATCATGTTGACATTATCACTAGTATCAAGAATTGCCGCAGTGTCTTTTCTATACAATTGGAGACTTCGATAATCTCGTTTAGACAATATCATATGTGGTGTTGCGCGTGACGTATTTGTGACATTTGTAAAACGTCAAAAACTCAAAAACCAAAGAGTATATAAATGTCAAAAACTGACAACTTGTCTATTTTTTTTTTAATTTTATGACCTGGTAACATACAGCTTTAGGTCATATCTTATTTTATTTACCCTAGAGTATATAAAATGTTCACTACACTTGACTAATAACTTGTCTATTGTAAAGAGGAGCTCAATGAGTAAATAAAATATGGAGAAAGATGGAGATAGTAGGCAGCATTCCTCCGCGAGGAATTAAAAAAAGTAGTAGGCTATGTTTTTTTCCAGGCTACGTCCAAATTTCAGCGAAATCATGCCTCATACAAACATACTTACAAATATTCACATGAAAATATTCTAGTAAGATTAGCTATTTTCATTCATCCATCCATTACCCCAGATCTATAATAACCCATTGAAGTGTAGGTATTATATACACTTTTATATACTCTTTGGTGTAGGGGTCCAACTATAAACGCTATGAAAAATTTGAAGCCTGTTTTTTTATAGCAGGGGGGCAAAAGAGCAGCGGGAACACCGAGATGTTCAACGACGCCCATGGACATCTGTAATATCAGAAGAACCGCAGATGCGTTGCCGGCCTTTTGAGATGGTGATACGCTCGCTTCTTGAAGGACATTTTGTAAAGGTGACATTTTCATAGCTTACGTTGCAAATTTTCTGAGTGTTTGTAATATTTATAATAATTGTGTTTGAAACATAAAAAGGGTTTCAAAATTATTCATTCATTACGGGATTATCTAGTTAATATCTCTTCCCGCTCTTTTATGGAGGAGATGGGAAGAGGTAACGGATTTGGCAGAAAAGGGACCATATAATAAGAGGAAATATTGTCATTATGTGTTTCAGATTCCCATGGCAGCGGTTTTTCCCTATTTTAAAAATTCACGAAGTCGCTACCTATTATATTAAGTACATACAAAGTTTAAGTAATCATTTTCAGGCAAACACAGTAAAAAAGTTCCGTATTTGTCGCCGTAGATGATTACATTCATCCTCCGACCTCCACTCCGATGTAATTGTATCGAAGATGGTAACTTAGAACAGTAATATCAACTAATTTGTGTGAAATCGATTTAAAATAAAAAAAAGAGCAAAGGCGTTAGATGTTGGGCGGCGACGTATGCTCAGTATGCTGCTGCCGGACCAAAGGTACGAGCCGGCGGCAGCGGTGGCGGCTCTGCTCTGCTACACGCGCACCGCGTCCGCCTGGACTTCTGCGTATACCGCTCGCGCTGGCACGCACATCACACCAGGTCATTTTATTTTTCTGCGGACCACGCCATTTGTAGGTCAATCATTTCATTATATATTAACAATATTCAAAACCAAGTTCATATACATTTTTTTATCTTAACGTATGTAAGCTACTTATTTTTATGCAGTTTATTTATTAGAATTTAACGAATTGAAAATGGAAAGCATATTTTTCCGCAAGTTTTGAGCATGAATTATAAATCTAACATGATGGCGACTTTTACGACGTTTACGCAGGTGCGCGGCAGGGCCTGCGCTAGCTGCGGGGGCTGCGGGGTCTCGCGGTCGCCGGAAGTGGCAAGTCTTTCCTTCCGGTAAGTCAACACACCTTTCTATGACACGAACATGACTATGCTACATTTTGTTAAGATAAGGAGTCTCCACAAACGTAGCAAAAGAAGAGGGGAATAATAAATTAATCCCCTCAGAGACATTATACACTCAAAATGCTGGATGTACAACAATAAGCACAAAAATGAAACACAGACATTAAAATTAAACTTTTAACATTTTTGTTATAACCATAGAAGAATTTCGGAAGAAGTTAGGATTTTTTTCGCTTACTGCTAAGCTTAAAAACCAATAAAACTTCAGATCCTTCTTGACAATACACCCCTCCGAAATAATGAAATAACTGCGGCGATTTCGCTAGGAATTGCCGCGACTGTGCTCTTCAAATAACTTGTTAATTAACCGTTTATTCAATGTAAACGTTTTGAAAAAATCATAAAAAAAGATAGTTTTTATATAAACACGAAGTTAGTTATGTATTGAAACACTCTACCATTACATTAAATTATTCAAACTTTCGCAAGACGTTATCTTAAACGAATATATACGCGGGTAAAACACTGACATATGTTCGTACGGTGTCACTAGCACCGACTAGTTAGTAGTCCATCCGTAGCCCTTCATCAGGGTAGGTGGGAGTGGTAATATTTCAGGGACGCGGCGGCGCGCTCATTTTTGCAAAACATAGATTATTTACATATATGTATTTATTATTATATCACAGATATCATTAAACTGTTATTACAATTTTCTTTGTTTTGAAACGACAAGTTTTAGGCGTACGTAGACTTAAAAAAATAGATTATATTAAAATTGCCCGTGAACGACAAATTACTAGCTCGAAACCGTCGCGTCTCTCGTTGTACCGCAACTTTATATGAGCTATGCGAGAAGAAGTTCTGCCAGATATTACAGTTTTTCTGTAGTTAAGCGTTTCAATCAATTGGAATCCGTTATAATTATTTCGGTTAATCTTTTATTCCCGGGTCAAAGACCAAAGCGCACTCGCGATAGATTAGACATCAACGCGCTCATGGACAATATCACCTGCAGCGCAAGAATTTACACGCTGCGATCTTTTTCATTGTGTAAGAAGATAATTTGAGGTTTGTAGTTTGTAGGTAATACTCTACTTATATTTCTCTCAGTTAGTACTCAAATATATTTTAAACAGAACAACTATCAGCTATCGTAAGTTTTATCTTATATAATTAATAGAACAAAAAAAACTTGAATTTAAGTGGTACTGTTAGTTTTTATATCTATTAGTTATTTGGCAATCTATCGCGTATCAATTGTAAAATTACCTTTGCCTTAACTTTGCTTCTGGTTGCGAGTGTGCCGGCGGCGGAAAAGCAGAGCGCTCATACCGCGGTCGCACCGAGGCCGCACCGCGAACTATGTTAACGGGCTTAGAGTGGTTCTGGCCTCCGGAGAGTTACTTTTATAGCTTTTGTTCACAACTGACATAAAGCCGACTATTGCATTGTACAGCCGCCAACCAGTCCCCGCCCAGTTTCCGACCAGACACCGCGTAGCGGGCGCGATATCGCCGCGGTTTTCGACGTCGACGTCACTAAAAAGCTGCGCTTGATCGAAAAAGTGCTGCGTCTCTACATTGAATCATTCATAATTTTGATAGAAGCCGATCCAGTACTATTGAAGTTTGTATAATACCAGACAGCCGGTAACGGTGCGAGGCATTAAGCGGGGGTCGCGGGACGGCGCGGGGAGGAACGGGCATAGCTTTCGGCGAGCTTACAAACAAACAAACCTGTTTCCCCCCGCACCGCGCACACCAACCTGCCGCGCCCCCCTCGCCCTGCAACATTATCCGCCTAAGCGCATCAAATGAACGTTTAGCCTCGCCTCTGAAAAGTTTCCTGTTTAAACTTACGGGAATTGCTACTGCAGTATCATCTAGTCATTCGTGGCATGGTCCCAGTAACGTGCACCAACTATGGCCTAATGTCTTTTTCTATTTTTCAGCTCGTAGTACTTTTAAGGCTTTTTCAACCTGACCCGAGCTCCAGGTGACTCGGCGATGGTGGTATTCAGAGCCCCTGACGTCACGACTGGGGCGGCGGGTAGGGAGGAGTTCGGAAGCGGTACGCGGGGAGCGGAGAGCGGGCGGGTAGGGCACAGTACGCGAGAGACCGCGCGCGCGAGTGGTCGCTGCTATCGGCTTGGAGCGGCGCGGCCGCGGTGTGTGATGCGAGCGGGCCGGCCGCCATGGCCACGCTCGGCCTGTCCAAGGTGTTCATTCTCGACAAGTATTTTACTGAGCTACAAAAGTTCTGGGAGACGGAGAAGAAGTTGCAAGGTGAGCGGCGCGCCGTCGGCTCGCGCTGCGGCCTTTGTGGCTGATGTCACGTACTTATGTTTTTATCGGCGCGCGCCGAAACCTTTACATTTTTGACGTGTGAACTCGAATGGGCCACAATGAGCGCCGGCACTCGCGGTGGAAGCAGGTAGATACACAGTGCGCAGCGCACAGCTGTACTCTGTGCTCTAAAAAGACGAAACGTTACAAACTTAAAACTCCGCTATTTGTTTGTCGCTTGGAGTATAGTAAGTATGTAGTTGTAGAGGGAGGACCATATTAAACAGATTGAGCATTCCGAGGCCACTAGAGAGGCTCAGGCCCGGGGCGCCTCCCTCCCCCGTCGCTCCCCGCCACTCGCCGCCCGCCGCCCGCGCTGCACTATCTATTAGATCGTGACGCACCGACCGCGACTTGTTTGACTACTTCTCAAAATTAAAAACATTAAGTTACATTTTACTTATTCTTATAGTTTGGTTAAACGTATTTCTTGCTTTTAGACACATATTTTTGTAAAAGTAGAAATAGACGTATCTTTTTATCGCATTAACATGACCTGTTCCAAAACGCTTATGTAATTCTCTGTCTAGGAGAAAAGCTCTTAAATATAGCATGGCAGGTTTGCCAGCAAGTAAAGACGCGCTCTCCTCGTAACGCGAGCTGCATCTTGCAAGCGGTCACTCCAGGATTATAGTTTTATAATCTGTGGATTTAAATTGCCCTTTGACAGTGACAGTTGATGGCATGTTGTCGTGGATACACATTGAGGTAGGTATACACAAACCGCTGCGCACATTTACGCGCTCATTACGGTTCTCTTAGTGGGTTTGGCATCACAATTTCCAGATCAAGTAAAAGCATCTGTAACAACTGCATGTTGCTGTCTCACTTACACTCCATTGTGTGTCATCATTACTTATATATGAATATGTTATATCTATTATATACCCGCACTGTATCGTATACATACTAATGTGCGACTTCTTAATTTGTCGTTGGTCTTAGAAAATAGCGGGAAAAGGTTTTACTTCTAATTGCATATTATTTAAATGTGGTTCTTTAAACCGTATTTGAAGAAGGCAAGATTGTCAATTCGACTGTATGTATGTACATAACTGACGGCGTGCAGTCCACAACCTACTCTGCCAACAGTGACAACTGTCGCTACAACGCAATCGGTAAAACAACTTGTCCACGTCACTGCTGAACGTCTTTATGAACCGATTTTCATCATTTTTTTATTTGAATCTAGCGCTTTTTTGTACAATGACTGACTGCTGATGTTGTTACTCGTGAATGTTGTATATTGCGTGGTTTGGCACAGTATCGTAGTACTATCCCCTTTTTAATTAGGAGATATTGTGATGAAGACTTTACGTGATATACAATGGGACTGTTCATGGCGCCGGCGGCGAGGCGGAGACGCAGGTAAATTCCGGCAGTCGTGAATTCAAACCGTAATAGTTTATTCGTATAAAGACGAATTTATTTAATTTTTAAAACGTCTAAGAATAAAACTATTTTTATGTCAAGTGAATATTACAAATATGTATCTGAGATGTTCCTGCCAGTATTTTTTTCTTACCAAGGAAGTATGCGTTCTCACTACTTCTTGATCCCTCCTCATAAGACATGCCGCCGCCGCGGAGTCGTGCCACTGTATTCACATGTCGTACAACATTTGCCAACATTGTTATAAACTCCTTTAAAAATATATAAATGCAATTTTTTTAGAAATACATTACAAATGTACATGTGGGTGTTTAAATGTAACTAACATTGATTTTAACTATACATATATATATATATATATATATATATATATATATATATATATAACAATAGCTCAATTTGTCTTCAAATTAAAATATCGATGGCTTTACAACTTATTCTTACCATATAAAGTTTTTTTGATCTCATAATATTTTTAAGTTAGCATGTTTACTTTTTTAATTTATCTATATATTATATAATAATTTGAAGTTATCTATGGTATAGGCCACTTGGTCAATTATTTTAACTAATGTAATGGATGTAACAAATTTTCACTGTTGTCTATGTTTTCAATGCTATATAGCAGTATTTATTGCCTTTAAGTGCTTTAAGTGCTGCTAACACCTCGCCTCGCCTTACACTGTTCAATTTTGGTGAATAAGAAAAAAAAAACATGCTAAGAATATAAATATTCACTAATAATATTGTGTGAAGTTTTCTCCAGCTTTACAAAGCCCGCTCATGGACGGAGCTCTAACGCTTTTGTATTGTAATTACATACATGTCGTCTTTATTGCATGAAACGTTGTGCGGCGTACAGCGTGCGTCGTGCGGCAGCTTTTTGCGGCCACTTGTACTACTCGTATTCTTAATTTATTTAATTGCGAGTCCCGCGGCTCGGCCGTCCCTTTTTTTCCTGCGCTCTGTTTGCGATCGTTCAGACTTATTGATATCAAGATCTATATCTGGCAGCCATTACAATATTTGACATTTTAGGTTATTTTTTGAAAATTATGAAATAAAGTGATTGTAAAATTAAAGTAGCTGATGTTAAGTATATAGTTATTTTAGACAACATGTTTCACGAGAAATATTTTGGGATGTTCGAGTTTCGTGAGCGTAGAGTGCAGTTTTTTAAGGTTAACGGTTTGTGTTGGAACGTGAACCAGGTATACTGCGGCTGCGACTCAACAGAACAATTGTAGAACTGAGCGAGAAACATGGGCCGGCCTGGCCTTTTTCCTTTGTATCATTTACTTAAAAAGAAAGGATAAGGAGGGGAAGTGTATTTGACAGCGGAGAGGAAGGGGAAATATTCTCAATCTGTGCGTCCCCGTTGATTAAAGGTAGGTAACAAACACAAAGGCAATCTGCAATTGCGGTTGTCTATGAGCAGCGTTGATATTTTGGCGAGTTTAGGTGGCAGCGTGCTCGTTTGCCGTCTTATAATATAAAAAGTCAACCGCCACCAGGGTATCGAGTCGTACCTAATGTTAACCGGTTAACAATGACTCGTTTCTCGAAACGGTGCGTCATTTTTTTGTGATGTTATCAAACATTTCAGTCGTTTAACTTTTTATTTTTGTAGTGATAATCATAAAGTATTCCCGTAAAAAAAGATTCAAGCGATTTCTTACTTGAGATGTCATTTATATGTAAACGGAAGAAAACCCAAAACGTGCTTAACGTATGTTGTCGCCTTAACCTTGTATATATGAAATAAGGGCGGTCCTCGCGGGGCGTGACATGACAATGTTCAGCCACAGTACAGGACAGTACAAGACAGTACAGGGCAGTACGGGACAGGACAGGGCAGTACGGGACAGTACAGGACAGTACAGGGCAGTACGGGACAGTACAGGGCAGTACGGGACAGGACACTTTGTTCAACAATATATTTGTTAATACATTACATTAGCAAATCATGCTGAATTCTTATAAAATTGATCTTAAGCAATATGGAATGATCTCATTTACAGTGTTTTGAAATATTTTTTAGGGTTCGTAACTTATTTCAAAGAAAAATATTATATAAAAACCTTAAAAATCTGGTTAGGTTTGGAACATTTTTAAAGAAAAAAAAAACGAGAGTAAAATTAAAAGTAAAAGATAAGTTAAACGGTGAAATTTGATAATATTAATTTATTTATTAAATTTGCCGCTCCCTAAATACTGCAGTCCTAGCCTACTCAACCTTTTTTTAAATCAGCCACACGTCCACACGGCAACAGGGCAACATGGCCATCTTGTTCTACTACCTTGGCTTTTTGAAACAAAAACCTTTGCATAAAACATAACATTGTACCTGTCAGTATCTTTGAAAAAAAATATAACGGCTAAGTCATGTTTGAAATGATATTGTCTAGTATTGAATATGTATTGCGGTGGCTCGTATACTACGAGAGGAAGCAATGTTTTCATTTATTTATTTATTTACAAATATAATATAGATAGGTACTAACGCTTTTTATCACAGATTACAATAGCCACAGTACCTGTACTTTTTCTCAGAAGCTTAGTAATAAAGCTGCAGAATTAGATTGCGCGTTCGTTTAATTGTACAATAAGAATAAGTTTATGAGGTATTTAATATGAAATTATTTAGAAATGTTTGCGCGGGATGGCGATGGGTTGGTCCGCGCTCGCAGCGCACGTTCTATAGTGGGCAAGGGACTTAGCTAGCAGCGGCATGGCGCAGCCGGTCATCTGATGGAGACGAGTGTTTTATAAGGCACTAACTGGCATTTGATGAGTTTCTTGCGGCCGGTGCAATGACGCGTTTTTGCTGCCGCCCATCACGCAGCACGTGTCGCGCATGCCTCAAGTCGCTCGTGACAAGTTTACATTAAGGCGTAACGCGCATGTGCATGTCTTATTTCTCAGTTAATCTAAGATTTACCACCTAGTTATGGTAAAAATCAAAAACTTATGTTATTTTTTTAATTTATTATAGTAAATGACTAGCGTTGTGTTGATTTCTAGTTCTTATTATAAAAATACACCTATCATATCATGTATATACCTAAACAAAATAGTGTCAAAGAAACTTATCAAAAATATATAATATAATAGAAAATTAAAGGACACAGATCATTGTTATGAAATACCGAGTCGATCGGTTCCTGAGTGGAGCGCGAGAGGCGCTCGCTCGGCGCGCTGACTCGGCGACATTCCACCGCGCCCACCCCGCGCCCGCCCCGCACCCGTCCTCGCCTTTTGAAAATGAAATGCACATGATAGCTGGGTACCTGTAAGCGTATTATATTATGTGTACAATTTTTGTTAACCCTTATTGTGGCAACATTTATTTTTTGAAGAAAAACAAAAAAACAAAGTTAAAAATTATTTTATAGTGATCGTATATTTTTATAAAGTTGTATGTATAGTGATACTATACAAAATGAACATAAGGTTTAATCTAACTAATGTTTGCGTGTATGAATGGACGCTTGTTATAAGTTATTTTCTAAAAGGTTCAACGGATCTCGGTAAAATTTGGTATTGACGTCCAACATAGTCTGGAAGACCACGTAGGCTTTCTAAGTTTTTTGATTGCTAAACGGCCGAAGTCGCGGGCGGCAGCTAGTACATACTAATTTTGAGGACGACGACATTATCACAACCGATGACGTCACCCGATGTCCTCACTTGATAACTTTGTTTCTTGAAAAAACTCACTAACCTCTTCCATGAATGCAATTACTACCTCTGGTCTTCACATGATGTACGCGTCTATGTGTTTTTTATGAGAGACCTTCGGACCATCTGACATAGGATTTACATATCCGCTGTGTCTCTCTCAGAGTCATTGTTGTTTACTTATCTTAGCATTGTACCACGAATATAAATGCCGACAAGTATTACTTCGTGGGAGTTGTCTCAACTGGACAGTTGTGGGGTTTGGTACATATATAGCGGATAGCGGATGCAGATTGCATGACAAGTGCTTAATCCCTTAGCCACCGAAGCTCTCTCGGATCGTATTGTAGTGCCGGCTCAGTCCAAGAGAATATAAGAGAGCGTCACGACAATTGTTATTACTATTACAGATTTCGATGATAATATATGTCCCCAATACTTAACTAACGACATCTTGCACTTTAAAGAATCTATTATAGAATGTTTTCGACGTCCTTTTGTTCGCGGATAAAGTACACACAAAAAATATTTGAAGAGCCTATCGGGCGAGTAGCAAGAAGAGAGGGGGGGAGTCCTGTGTCCTTCGGTTCCACACCAATAAAAAGGTATTTGACGCGATCGCTCGTCCTAAATTTTAGCCCAAGTTATTTTGTCTGTAAGGCACGGGGCGCAAGGTGCAGGTCCGCGCCGCTCTCTGCAATGCGCTCTCCGCCGCCCCGCTCGCTGCACCGGGACCGGTCTGTCGCCTCGCCCGCGCCCCACGCCCCACCACACCATTCTCTTCCTTAATGTAATCAGATGTTCATGCTGCGTACCTCGAGCCCCCTTCATCGATAGATTCACTAAACAACGGCAACCCGAGCCGATTAACACATTTACATTTCTCAAACTTCACGACGAATATTGTCGAATGTTACATACGACGTCTATTGCGTCTGCAAGTGTCGGGAAAAGCAAAAAAACTTAGGAAACATATGCCTAATGTCATCATAATGTAATTTTATTTTCGCCGGTGATGCCCGCGGCGGCAGTCGCGCCGTGCCGTCGAGAGCTCGGAATGGCTCCGCGTCGCGTGCGCAACAACGTTACTCATTTCGATATGCAATAATGAAATTTCACGCTCACATCGCTCATCTCAGTCGCGCGGGCGCGAGCGAGGGCGCGGCGGCGACGAGTGCACCGCGCGCTATTGACAGGCGGTGCGCGGGCGCCGCCGTACACTGTCGACTTTCGAAAAATCTTACAACGCGCGTTGCAGGTCTATGACTTCGTCGACCGGTGAGCGAGTCGCGGTGGTCTCCGAACCTCCGATCGAATGTGTGTTGCGAGCCGGCCTGAGGTTTAACTTTGATTATTTTGTGCGCAGACGCATCATCATCGAATGAGGCCGTGCACCTGCAGCGCCGGCTGCTGAGCCTCAGCTCGGAGCTGGTGACGCTCCGTAACCACCTGCACGTGGGTGGCGCCGGGGCGGCGGGCCCAAGCGTCGGAGCTACAGGATCAGCGAGCGGCAGTGCGCAGCCGGCGGTGCCTCCGCGCGCGCCGCTCCTGCCACCGCCCTCTGCGCCAGCGCCGCCGCCACCCGCGCCACCCGCCGCCGCGCCGCACGCGCCGGTTGCACCCCATCCCTCCCTGCAGCCGCCGCCGGTGCCGCCCCGTGAGACTTTCATTCATAATCATATCAATAACCTAATATTGCTAGATTAATGTAATCATAAGTCCATTGCACGACGATTGTGACGTGTCATATTTAAGGCGAAGCAAAAATTGTCGGACATCATGACTGACGGATGAAAAGCTTTGTAGCGACTTCACATCTATGGTTTAAGCGGTAAGAATATTCCGCGAACTTTCAATGGACGCAGTTATTTTTTTTGTAAAAATAAATCGTAAGAACCAAATAATTGAGTTAACGTATAAATTCCTTTGTTTTGTTCTTATTATTAATTCGCATGACAAAATAAAATAAAATTATGGCACAACTGTTGCTTTGTCTAACTTTAACCTACTGAATGTTTTTTTTTTACGTCAAACTTTTAGTTTACAAATTATTTCACAAACTGCGGCCATGCCCATGCCCATGCCTGGAGAATAAAGTCAAAGCAAAATTACAAAAGTTTTTATTAAATTAACACGTGTTATATTTTTAAAATTATATGCGTATATATTTCAAAATATGTATATTTTATATAAAAAAAGAAAGTCGTGTTAGTTACACTATTTATAACTCAAGAACGGCTTTACCGATATGCCTGAATATTGGTGAGGAGGTAGTTTAGAGCCAGGAGTCGGACAGAGGATACTATTTATTCATTTTTTTTCGAATTTATACCTTGAAGAGCTGCTTTTTATTTAACTCACTAATATTATAAATGCGAATGTTTAGATGGATGTGATATGGAAGGATGGATGGATGGATGGGTGTTTGAAAATATCTCTAGAACGGCTGAACGGATCTCGATTAAATTTGGCATGCGTATAGAACATCGTCTGAAAGAACACATAGGCTACACTAATTAAGTTTTTTTATAAATCCATGCCGACGGAGTCGCGGGCCATAGCTAGTATTTAATAAAATTAAGTGATGGTCTAACGTATGTAGCTTAAGATTCAAAATTGTAACTTACTGTAAATGAATAAAAGACTTATTTATTAAAGTAAGATTAATCAAGTAATAAAATCTCCACTCTAAACAATATTTTGAAAATGAAACTTCAGATTTTTACAATTTTTTTAAACGTGAAATATTTCACTGTAGATTTATTAAAAATTGCACAAATACTTTGGGCTGTAAATGATATGAGCCGTAAAGGTCTCCCACCTACAGCACAAATCTTTTGTACCGACCATTAAGAATCAACCTGTATAGTCTTTCAACCAGTCGAGATCGGGTCAGTGGAGATAAGCTTTAAGCTATATTTTGCGACACGAGTCTGCACGAACTACCGACTTGAAGCGGTTCGCTCACACGGCAGTCACCAAGCTATGATGTCTTATAGCGGAGACGAGATGGCGCGGCGGTGCGGGGGCGGGGGCGGGCGCAGGGCACGGCGCGGGGCAGGGCGCGGCGGCAGACGACCTGATCCACCTGCGCGGGCCGCTCACCGAGGACGCAGTGGTTCGCGCGCTGCAGGCTCGCTTCTATCAGAACAAGTTCTACGTGAGTGCATTGTTACCTAACGCCGCTGTCGCTCGACACCGGCCACCGTTGATCATTATCGCGTCGTTTTACACGGCATAGGAAGAAGTTGGATGTCGATGAGCTATCCATCGCAGCGTCGGATTACAAAGTCAGAAAATGAAAGGATTGTAACATGATGATGTTCCAGACGTCCGTAGGCCCGATCCTGGTCGCCATGAACGCGTACACGGATGCCGCTAACGCGCTGACGCCGGCGGCGGCGCGCGCGCAGCGCCCGGAGCTGGCGCGGCTGGTGCACGACGCGGTGCGCCACCAGGCCGACACCGGTTGCCCGCAGGCCATCATACTTTCCGGTAATGCCTTTCTAAAATGTCGCTACTTGAGTTTCTCGGTGTTAGGATGGAAAGTGAATACTGTGCGATGCGCAGGCGTGTCGGGGTCGGGCAAGACGTACGCGTCCATGGTGCTACTGCGGCGGTTGTTCGACGTGGCGGGTGGCGGGCCGGAGACGGACGCCTTTAAACACCTCGCGGCCGCCTTCACCGTGCTGCGCTCGCTGGGTGCCGCCGGCACGCTCGCCAACTCCCACTCCAGCCGCATCGTAAGTTCCCCGCTCCCCGCCGTGCCGTGCCGTGTGGTCGCAGGGGCATAAGTTCATAAGCTTTGTCTGGACGCAGGGTCACTTCATCGAGGTGCAGGTGACGGACGGCGCCCTCTACCGCACCAAGATCCACTGCTACTTCCTGGACCAGACGCGTGTCGTGCGGCCGCCGCCCGGCGAGCGCAACTACCATATCTTCTACCAAATGCTGGCTGGCCTGACGCCCGACGAGCGCCTGCAGCTGCACCTTGACGGCTACTCCGCGCAGGACCTGCGGTACGTCCCCGCCCGCCTCCCCGCCGCCTTCACAATGCCGCCCCGCCGTCGCCTACAACCTGTCGCCTTCATACGTGTTACAGATATCTGACATCCTCTCAACATCGAAGGCCCGAGCCGGAGGACGCTGCGCGCTTCCACGCATGGAAAACGTGCCTCGGCATCCTCGGCATTCCGTTCCTGGACGTGGTGCGAGTGCTGGCGGCGGTGTTGCTGCTCGGCAACGTGCAGTTCGGAGAAGGCGCAGAGGGCGCGGCCGAGCCCGCCGGCGAAGCGGAGCTAGCGGCCGCCGCCTCGCTGCTGGGAGTCGCAGCGCCGGCGCTGTTACGCGGGCTGGCGTCCCGCACGGCGCCGCGACACGCGCGCCCCCAGGTGCGAGGCGCGGCGGGCCCCGCGCACGCCGCCTGCGCGCGCGACGCGCTCGCCAAGGCGTTGTACTGCCGGACGGTGGCCACCATCGTGCGGCGCGCCAACTCACTCAAGCGACTGGGCTCCACGCTCGGCACGCTCTCCTCGGACTCGAACGATTCGGTGCGAGATCAGGACGCGGCTTCGCGGCGCGCCTCCACGGCGGGTGGACGGTCGCGCGCGGGCGCGCAAGGCATGGCGGCCCTCAACGACGCGGTGCGTCACGCGACCGACGGCTTCGTAGGCATCCTGGACATGTTTGGGTTCGAGGATGCGGCGCCCAGCAGGCTCGAGCATCTATGCGCCAACCTTTGCGCGGAAACGATGCAGCACTTCTACAACACGCACGTGTTCAAGTCGTCTGCGGAGTCGTGCCGCGAGGAGGGCGTGGCGGGCGCGCTCGAGGTGGAGTACGTGGACAACGTGCCCTGTATCGACCTGGTGTCCTCGCTGCGCGCCGGCCTGCTCGCCGCGCTGGACGCCGAATGCGCCGCGCGCGGTTCGCCCGAGCACTACGTCGCCAGGATCAGGACCGCACACAGGTCGGTCACCGCGGCCGGCGTCTTTGTCATTCTTTGAAGACATAAAGGCGTCGGTAAAAGCACTATGCGGATCGGACGAGAGGTAAGGAGATGTGTGTGCGCAGGGGACACCCGCGGCTGGGCGAGGCGCGGCCGCCGCACGCGCGCCGCTTCGCCGTGCGCCACTACGCCGGCGAGGTGGTGTACGACGCGGCCGAGTTTCTGGATGCCAACCGCGACTGCGTCCCCGACGCCTTGCTCGCCGCCTTCGACTCGCGCTGCTGCGAGTTCGGCTTCGCCACGCACCTCTTCGGCACGGAGCTGAAGGTGAGTCCGCCGCCCGAAGATACTCTGCCGGCGACACTATCGATATAATCTAGCGGTCTCGTGGGCTTCCCGAAACCACCGTATTCTACTATATTTTTGATCAAAATTTAACATACTGAGAAACCTACGGCCTCGGTTGCATGCGGTGACTCAATAAATAATAAAAGAAGGGCAAATGTGATGTCCCCGTTACGTTCGAAACTATAATAATAGACGTAGACAAAAGTCGTGCGTGACGCGACGCCTACATGGAGTATATGATGCGCGCAGGCGCTGGCTGCGAGCGGCGGCGCGACGGGCGCTCTGTTCCGCGCCTCGCCCACCGCGCTGGCGGCCGCCGCCCCCACCGCTCCCTCCGCGCCCGCCGTGCCCGCCGTGCCCGCCTCCACGCTCACGCAGGACTTCCACACGCGGCTGGACAACCTGTTGCGCACGCTGGTGCACGCGCGACCGCACTTCGTGCGCTGCCTTCGCGCCAACGCCGCCGAGACCCCCATGCTGTTCGAGCGCGCCGTCGTCGCGAACCAGGTTACAATTTTATATATGCTAAACACATAAAAATTACATAAATACTTAC